ACAAACACCAACTAAAATGGCAAGATGAAAAAAACTACTACTAACAAAAAAACATACATTAAAAAAAAGCTGCGCAACAAATGGAAGCAAATAAAAAAATTACAAGGCAAACTGCCGGAGCACAGACTGGTGATCGCCCTTTTTTTCTAAAAATATTTTAACAAAATTCCAATTGGATATAGTTTAATGCTTTGTATCTTAAATCATGTAATATACATAGGTAATTTTCGGTGAAGACACGTTCCAAACCCAAGATGAACTAACGGTAATATTAGGCGTGATATATCATTCCGATCGAAAGCCATTGGAATGGTCTAGCAAGTCGGAAACTGGGTGCCTCAAGAGCTCAAACCGAGATATATCACATACTCTTTCAACGAAGTCGTTTTTGTCGTGTATTGTCACCGGCGATGTAAAATGGACTCATTACTATAATCCAAATCGCCATAAGGCATATGTTAAGCACGAAGCAAAATATCCATAGCGGCAAGGTAATGCTTTGCATTTGATGGGATCAGAAGAGAATCATCATGTATCATGGGAATCTGAAAAGTGGTCAAACGATCGACGGGCTCTTTACTGACAAGCACTGAATCGAGCGATTGCAAAAAAAAAACGCCGGAATGGCCAAAGAGACATGAGTTATTCGTCTTCCACCATGACAATGCTCGCCGGCAGGTCGCACAAGTGGTGAACACTTACCTCGATTGCTCTCATAGGGGAGTAGGCTCCTCTCCAAAGATGAGCAGTTTATTGGCACGGAATTAATGCATTGCCAGAAAAGTGGAAAAAGCTCATAGCTAGCGATGGGCAAAACTTTCGGTGAAATTACATTGTACCAATTTTGTACAGTAAAGGTAAAAAATCCTTTAAAACTTACTTATAGAGNTAGCGATGGGCAAAACTTTCGGTGAAATTACATTGTACCAATTTTGTACATTAAAGTTTCGAGAGCGCGAAAAAATCCTTTAAAACTTACTTATAGATCCAATACTATGCGCACTTTTAGTGCAGGCACTGATAAGGCAACGGCCGAGAAAAGGAGCCTGTTGAGCTTAATTTTAAATATAAAAAATTATTTAATTTGTTATATCCTCTTAAACTCCTACTTATTGATTCGAAAATGAATAGTTTGAATGATATGCATTCCCACAGTTAGCATACTACTTTTTTACGTTGTTTACTTGTAACATAAGTAATGATGCTTTTTTGGTTTTATTTTTATATCATAATTTTTGCTATATGTAGTTCAGTTTTCAGGCCCGGTTTCACAGTGCTTAGTTAAACCATTGTTAAGTTAACCACTAACAAGAGTTTAACTATGAATTTATATTCAGAGTCACATAGTTAACTATGGAAATTCGTATCGCCTGAAAATATTCAAATTCTAAAAATCAATATTTTTCCATACAAAACGGGAATTCGTTTCACGGCAAAAATTTAATTTCACAAGAGTTTAACTATGGGGGCACACAGGGGCATTTCGGCGGAAAAAATAAGATTTTTTGATTATTAAATTTTTATATTTGAATTGGGAAATTGGCAGTTTTATACAAAATAAAAGAAAAAAGTCACATTATTGTTATTCAACTAAAACTGATTCAGATTTTTGTTCACTTAAGCAATGTGTTTTTCTTACAACTTTTGTTTTTATTGTTTTTGTTGTAGGTTCATATGAACCTAGGTTCATATGAGTAGACAAATAGAGAAAATCAGGGCAATCGACCAAATATTTTAATAAATTTAAGCAAAAATAAAAAAAATAACACTTTATAAATGCTAACTTTGAAACTTTTGATGGACAAAAACTATTTCCTTAATCTTCCTTCGCCTTCCAACCATAAAGAAAATGAAAGACCGGAATATATACTATCACTTTCTGAAAAATATATTTTGCGCATATTTGCGACTTTTAACGTAACCTCATATAGTAATGATGGCACTCATAATGTTCTTAAGGCGTTTTTGGGAGGTATGTGTTAAAATAAACCGAATACTCTTAATTTTTTGGATGTTTGGTTATAATATTATTACCAAAGAACGGATTTTTAGGACCTAAAAACCTATAAAAAAGGCAAAATAAAATAACGAAATAGACAGAAAAAGGCACTAGAAATCGCAAAAAAGACAATACGACAAATAATCAAAAAATACTTTCGAATTTTTCATTGGTCCGCTTTTTACGGCCTTTTTAAGGTGTTTTTGAGGTTAGGATTGTATGGGTGGTATGCTTTAAAATAAACCGATTACGCCCAATTTTTGAGGATTCACACACAACGTTATTAAAAATATATGGACAATATTTTGGAGTCAAATATTCATTGATGTGTTTTTTAGGCTATTTTAAGGAATTTTGAGGTTAGGTTTGTATGGGAGGTATGCTTTAAAATAAATCGATTACGTCCATTTTTTTGGAATTCATAAACCACGTTATTACAAACGTATAGACAAAATATCGAACTCATATATGCATCGGTGCACTTTTTATTGCATTTTTAAGACGTTTTTGAGGTTAGGTTTATATGAAAATTAATTAATTAATTCATCATCTGCTCAGGTTCGCTCTCAACACTGAATTCAATTTCTAATATAAACAACCACGACCCATACCCAAGCTCCATCAGATCCCTTCTAATCAAACATAGCCCAAAAATAAAACTCCTTTGGACACCTGGACACTCTGACATTAAGGGTAACGAACTGGCAGACGCAGCGGCCAAAACAGCAGCTCGCCTGCCACTCATAACTACAAATACGAACCCAAAAGATATTACACAATTCCTAAAAAAACGAACTCCAAATAGAACACCAAAAACTTCTGCCACTAGCATCGAACTGGTATCAACAACTATACCAAAAGCAACACATAAACTGTAACTACCTTAAATATACCCCACAAGACTCACTTACAAGACTAGACCAAATTAATCATTAGGCTCCGACGAGGCCACACTAAATTCACTCACCTGTACCGCATAGACAAAAACACTTCACCGCTCTGCCCCATTTGGCAAGCTAACACACCAATATCCACACAACATATCCTTGAATTTTGCCCTTCCTTAGCACTACTATGACAACAAATCTTCCTCAGTGACTCGCCTATCGAACTACTCGCCAACCCGTACCTAGAAAACATGCAAAAAATTATCCTATTCCTTAAGCTATCCAACCTTTACCATCAAATATAAACATTTATAAACTTATAAACAAATGGAACAACATGTATCTAAGTACACTAATTTGCTACATACATACATATGTATAAATTATCATAAGTACACTCCATAGCCTTATTTTTAACTCATTGATTAAAAATAAAATATAGTGTAGCTTAAGGCCCCAGCAGCCAAAGCTATGTTCCCACCTTTCTGTTAGATTTAAGTTTTATAAACTTTTCTAACAGCTGTAAACAAATAAATAAATAATTAATTGATTAAATTAATTTGATAACGCCATTTTTATTTTATTTTTTTGATTTACGTCCATAAATATCAAACACGGAAAATTGAGCTTCTACGTCGATTCATTATAATTTTTTACAAACAAATTTATGGGGCGGTACCACTGTCGGGCATACTGGTTTAAACTTTTCTTAACTGAGCATTGTGAATATCAAACTCGATACTTAAGCTCTTGTCAGTGAATAACTACTCACTGACTCTCATGTCGACTTTTTTGAATAAAACCAAAAATCTATTTACGATCCGATTAATCTAAAAACGATAAATATGCATAAATGTTATGGACATATCTATCTACATAAATACACACAAATGTATGACTATGTAGATATGAATGTATATGTAATCATTATAAATGCTTCTTATTAAATATAAATTAAAATAAAAGCAATTAACTAAAAAGCTACACATCCATATTCAATATAAACCACGTTGTTGTTAAGCTTATTTTCTCACCATGCCATCACACTTCTCTGCTATTCCACAGGTGCCTGCATAATTAGTCGATTCGCGTCATGGCTGTCGACGATTTGGGTATCACTGCAAGCGGTCTTGGCGGTGGCCTACATTGGCATGTTCATCTTCAACACCCTGCCATTTCGGGAGTGTGTGGGCAATGTGAAGTTGGCGCTGGTAAGTTGTTGTTTGTTGCAGTGTTTGTTTTTTTTGTTATTATGTATTGGCATGTTGCTGGCATGCTGTTGTTGTTGTTGTTTGTTGCTGCTGCTGCCGTGACTAATTGTGCGAATAGTAAAACGTTTGTGGCTGCAGCAATAATTGATTTACTACGAGTAAATCGCTTAGATATTTATTTATTGGATTTTTATTACGGTTATATGTACTCGTTTGTGGTTAATGATTTTTTGTTTCCATTTTCTTTTTTTTCGTTCTTTGATTTTTTTTTTCTTCTATAAAATCAATTAGAATGGCTACACAGTGATCGGCAACAGCGGTCAAGAATGTTTGCAGCGCACCTTTTTAACACCATTCTGGGAGAATCCAATGTACTTTGGCATGTTGGCTGTTGGATTGATCGGCCTTTGGATTGTGGTGATGTTGTGGTTAGTACTGCAAACTATTTATAATACAAAATGCAGATGTTATTAATTAATAGTTTAACTGTATCACTTGTGCTATACATTTTGGATTGAAGGTCAGCTATACAAGTTTGTAGATAGGGTCATTTACACTTGCTAGTAACTACGAAGGCTTTGTCGAAGGTTAAAGAAAGCATCCTTAATAAGATCTCCTTTGTTTGAAAAAAAATGCGCTTATTTGTTTCAAATATTCTCTTATTAAAATATTTAAAAAAAATATTATTTCAAATATTCTCTTATTAAAATAAGTGTAAATACGCGTGCTGAGATCAGTACTTATAGTAAAAAGTATTGAGTAAATACTAGGCTTGTGAAGCTTTTGAACTGAAGAGCGAAAGAGTCAGCGCTTTTAGTTGAACTAGTTCATTAGTTTGTTCATTGAAGTGAACTAAAGTTTTCTGTGCCAACACTTCAATAAAAATGGATCTCGTTTTTCGTTTGAAAGGGCATAGAGAAACAACTGATTGGAATTCACGCTAAGAAGACATTTGTTTTCATTGAATTTCCAATGTTTTACATCGTTTAGTGCAATTTGTATAAAAGACTAATAATCTGAGTTGAGTTTTTGGGATTTGTTGTCTAATAAAAGACTTTCGCGATGCAAAGCGAAGCGCAAGTTGGTCAAGAAGACAAGAAAATGAAATCCAGGCACTGCCGAGGTTCCATAAGCTTTGCCGATGGCTCTCATGGTCATTTGAATCGCCATATATCCTTTCGTGATTTTGGATAAAGACGAATGAATGAAGACGAGATTCGTTTTCACAGGCTTTTATTCAACTTGCTCTGTATGTATGTATGTAAGTATGTTTGTTGGGGGCAAATCTTGCAATCAATTTTTGACCATCTTCCCGTTGACCTGGATACGATAGGTGGCGCGGGAGTCGAGATATTTAAAAAACCCGTATTTATAGTCCGATTCTGTTCATATTTAGAAGGTATATTAACTACATGAAAAGAAATAACTTCACCAAAAATTTTGCCGATAGTTGGCGCACGAGGCGATATATTTGGCAAACCATTTCGATTTCGTTCATATTTAGAAAGACTGCTTTAAAAATATTTGTTTTTACTATAAACTTATTTACTTTGCAGATTTCTTCAATCTTTTATATGTATATGTTATGAAACATACATCTTTGTTATTGTGTAACTCAGCTTCTACTAGCGATGTAGTTCAATTAGGTGAACTATACTTCAATAAGATGAACGAAATAAGATTCAGAAGAACTAGTTCATTAAGATGAAGGAACTAGAAGAGAACTAATCTTTAAAGTGAACTAAAAAATCCAACTCAAGTAAATACCGTCCATTGTAATACCTTCGTGGCCCTTTTTAACTATTTTAGAGTTCAGATGCCAGGCTCTAAATATATTTCATTCAAAATGCTCTTTTATAATTGTAGCAAAGGCGAAACAGTTGTACAAAAAGTGTTCCGAAAGCTCATCTTCTTCAAAACCGGGATAGTAAATGTGGTTTTCATCCAAGCCGATCACATTCAAGTTTTCAAACTTTGGGCCCTATACTCATCAGTGCGTGCCCTCCTCTCAGCTTAAAAAGCAACCTCTCGAAATCTCACATTATAATATCGCCTCAGCGAAGGTAATGGTGGGTACCATACTGGGGACTTGTGCTTCTAGATTACAGGTGGGCATCAGCTTGCCCGCGGGCAAAGCTCTTTCAAGCTTTGAATCACCGGCCTGTATTCCTTCCACCAACGTTCTAGATCAATTATGGCCACTTCATAGGCACGCGTGTCAAAGCTTTCGCAGGCCAACACTATTCTAGATCTTTGCCTCACCCCACTCACTCCCATGCTTCTGTCAGCACACGACGATTGGATTGCCAAGTGTGACCAGCAGATTTCACATGGCAAAAATATAGCACATATATCACAAATAATCGTTTATAATTCCTCTGTAGTGCTCATATTGGCCAAAATGGCGTTTTCAGCAGCATTTCCAAGGAAAAATGAGCAAATGATGCCACCGCTCCAAACTGTCACTCTCTCCTCGACGATCACGTACGGGCTTTCCAATCCCCAGTGTTGGTTGTTAGTGTAACCACCGAGATGAAAATGCGCTTGGTCAGAAAATATGGCTTTCGAGCAAAATCGTTGTCGATTTCGTTGGCATTATTTCTCGACGTTTTTCAAGCATAAAGCGATTAATTTAATTTCGCGGAGATATTATATTTACCTTCTACCAAGTTTTGTAGCGAGAGTGTCAAAATAACATATGATTAAAAACAAAACCTGCAGTAATCACGCAGGCCTTTCTCAAAGTCAATTCCTGAGAAAATTTGCCAGATCCTATTTCAATGTTTATTTCGGAGCCATCTGTGAAATAAAGTTATCATACATTTCTGGCGATTCTCTCTAAAGTTGAAGTATGGTCCCTGTTAATTGTTTGACGACTGTTAAAGGCCCTGGCTTCAGAGCGCTTTTAGCTGCGGCCCTTGTCGTGTGTGTCTCTATCGCCGCTTTAGTCGGGTGTCTTATATTGTTTCGTGAATAGAACTAGTTTAGTTTTGGAGGAATTAAATCCCACACCGTTCCTATTTGCACACCTTACCAGATCGTTAAATGTCGATTGTAGTAGCTCACTGACTGTCGAAGTGAACTTCGGGTCGAAATACCACTAGGCTTTCTGCATGCGAAACTATGTACTCTAATGACATTTGAAGTGTTAAGAAGCAATAACTCATGTTTAGGAGATGGTAGTTACTACACCCTGAGAGCCTGAGGGTTACGTCGTGTAGCCGTTTTCTTTGCTTTAGGTTATATCTTATGAAAACAAATATCCCTTTTCAGTACTCATTAGTGTAGAAGGGTTCTTCGGTAGTTGTAGTGATTTTTTACTTCGCTATTTAAAATCTTTTTTTTTTTTTTTCAAAATTTGCCCTTCAAATGTAACTCTCATGAATTTTAGTTGCCTTTGATTAATAATATAAAATTAGCTCTAAAGCACATGGTGATGAACAAAATATAATAATTAGGCACAAATGTAAATTTATGTTTATAATTTGGTTCTCGGTTACATGTCAAAATATGTACATACNTAAAAAAAAAAAATTATATTTATTTTAAGCTCTAAAGCTTTCGCACCTTTCCGCATTGGATTACACGAAACAGCAAATTCACCTATGTATATACATTAGGGTGGCCCTTAAATGTACTAACAAACTTTGACATCAGATTTCCTAAACCTCAACCCCTACGTCGATGCTACTGTAGTCAAAGATTGGTCCCGATTGGAGACGGTTAGGGCGTGTCGTACAGTGGGAAAAGTTCAGATTCCTCTATAGAGACTAAAAAAATTAAAATTAACATTTTTTCTTCTAATACCTAACATCGATACTCCCATAGTCGAAGATATCACATAAAAATTTTGGTCCCGATTGAAGTCTGTTAAGGCGTGTCCCACAGGGATCAATGTTCAGATTACCCTAGGAAGACGTCTTAACCAACTCCAATCAAACCAAAATTTATACGTGATATCCTCGACTTTAGTAGTATCGATTTAGGGTATTAAATGAAAATTTTTATTTTTTTTTTAAATTTCGATTGTGTCGATAGAGGCATCTGGTCATGGTCACCTTTGTGACACGCCTTAACCGTCTCCAATCGAGACTAAAATTTATATGTGATATCTGTGACCATGGTATAACCGATTGAGGGGGTGAGACTAAAAAAATCGTTCATTTAATTTTTAAGGCCCACCTTAATATATATACATACATATGTATGTATATATATGTATGTTTGTAAATATCATTTACATATTTTGGTAAATGAATATCCGCATAATTATTATTAATTCGGTGTTCCCAGCTAATAAATTTATAATATTCTTCAATTCCGCAACTATTATTTTCATTTCAAATTCTTCTATAGATTCATTTTTTTCGCACGCATGCGAACAAAGGATTTGTCGCTATGTCATTTGTTTTTTAACTTTAGTTATTGTTTTATGTATTTGACTGATAATTTTTTATTTTGCTAGTCAAATGAAATACGAAACTATGCTTTTATCTAATTCACAAGCAAGCAAATATATATTTACATACAGAAATGTTGTATTATTAATAGCATTTTAATTACAAACTTGTTTGGAATTCTTGTTTGGCATAAATTTATGTCTTAAACTGACATCATGAGCCATAATTCGTTGACAAGTAACAAAAAGATGAAATTATTTATTGAAAACATAGAACAAAATTTCTTGTGCGCATACATATGTAAGTGTGTATGTACATGTGTTTGTATTTACAACAATAGGGTGTAATATTTTTTCGATTTCGAAATTCCAATAGCGCAGAGAATATGCCAAACATGATCGCATTGAACCATGATCGCTTTCCGATCGGATAATATTTACAGCCGCCACAAGATATGTTTTTTTTAACTTTTTTAGTATAATAAAGTGCAAGTCTTAACCTGCTAGAAATCGCGTTGTTTCTTGCCAATTTTTTTGCTTACAGTGCCACGCAATTTTCCATACACATTATGTATGACAAATTTTTTATATGGAGGAAAGTGCACTACGTCAAAAAAAAGAATAAAAAATGTAAAAAATTAACACGATGTCTTCAAAACTTGAAACTAGCAGTTTATTATAATAAAAAAGTATAAATAAACAAAAATTGTAGAGACTTTTCGAAACTCTAAGGCTCGAAATCGAAAAACTAATTTTTTTTTTAGCTATACCCTAATGTATATTTTTGGCGAAATACGGTACACCTAGCCTGTAAGTTTGGTCTGTGTTTTGACCTAAGGAACCTAAAAAGTGTTTTGCTGTTGGATTGCGACAATCCTTGCCGAAGTGAAGTTAAAGTTTTGGCTACGAATTCATAACAAATTTACGATAACACTGCTAATCTCACATACAAAAATATGACTTGTTTATTTTTAACGAATATTATGAAAAATATAAAAAAAGACTTGAATTGCAATTTCGAAGAAGATATCGATCAATATGCCAATCATGGTGTCGATAATATTTTTTAATATCAATTTCGGTATCGAAATGTGGTGGTTAATATCGATAAATATATTGTTAATAGTGTCAGCAGGTGTCAGTAATTGATGCTGCCTCCACTGGAACCATCCAGTTTGCGCCTCTAGATACCCTGCCTAATAATGAGATCGGTTCAGTTGAAATCTTGCAGGTATTAAATAGCAATAAAACTAATTTAAATGTGAATTGAATAACTCAGTGTGAGAGCAGGACCAGGATGAATGTATTTGCATAAAAATGTATTAAAGCAAAAATGTTTTGGGTAGGCGTCGGAGCCAATGATAACCATCAGTTACCACCTCTGCATGGTTGTAAGTCATGCAGAGTCCCTACGGCTTGTATTGCTGTGGCTTTGCCGCTTAAACTCTGTAAGAGTTTTTGGGGGTGTGCGTCAAGCGGAGTGTTGAGCACCGGTTATTTATTTAAGTTCAAAAATTGGGTAGGCGCTGTGGCCAATGGTAGCTCTTGTACCACCTCTGTATGCCGAAGGCAATGATGCATCAAGCAAGTTTGTTGAGCATGATTTGGAGTGCCAGCAACTAACTACTTTAGTAGGTTTTGTTCTGCGGAAGTTGAGAAGTGCATTAAAAAATGCATACCCAATGAAGAACGAACGAATTATTTTTAAGCACAAGTGCGTGTGTTTATTCGCTGCACTTGGTTTTGAGCGGGAGTGCAATATACAAGTGCGTGTGTGTGTTCGCTGTTCTTTGTTTATGCGGGAAATGCATAAGCCGCTTAAACATCAATTCAGTCGAAACTTTTCTAGAACCTTCTTTTATTTCTGAAAGGTATACAAATATTATTAGAATTAATTTCCACATAAGTATTTAAACAAAGCATACCTTTTTGAAGTTTATTCCTTTCTTAACACTAACAATACTTTTTCTCTTTTTCCTTCTCAGCACCCACAATGGCCGCATTTTGCGCCGCAGTCTCTTCATCTTCGGCATACTAGGCTTTCTGCTGCTATGCTGCCNTTGGTGGACTCCAACATTTGGTTCAACGCGTTAATGCAGGTACTCTTCGCCACGAATTGCGGTTTTGGCGCTCTACCAGCTGTCACCGGCAAATTCCTCTACAAAGGTGATGCCGTACGCACTTCGATCGTGTACCTTTGCTTCAATTTGCTCATCAATGCAATAGCCGTCACACTCTTTATGGTACAGTTTGATCTCTCTGCCAATAGCGGCTCCATGATTGAGGAACTCAAACCACAAACCGCTGTCTACGATCGCATCTTGTACGATCGGCCAAGCAATGAGCTCATCGCACGCATCATACCCGTACTAATCTTTGCTTTGATCGTGATTTCCGCCATCATCGCTATCACGGTCGCCATCTACACAGTCACACGGTTGGTGCCACGCCATCCCAACTACGTCATCAGCTTGGTGGCGCTTGTCATGACCAT